AAACATGTTGGACGGTCCATCTTGGACGAAGACAGCTGAAGTTTTCACTGATTTTTGCGGAACGTTCCCAGGGCAGTTCTTTTCCATTCTTTTCCCAAACACACACCCTCAAGTCTCTCTGCAAGGTCCTTGATTTTCTGCAATGTTTGTCCGGTCGAAGCATGGGATGTTTGTTGCAACCTTCGAAGAGCCGTTGGTTTGCGCCATGTCCATGGCTCACAGACTCGATGATGACTTCATGCTGACTTTGCATGCATTGTCAGCGCAAAACCCATGGTAAAAAACGCATGGTGTCAGCGATCTCGACACCTCTCCGGATGCCAGGTTCACTTTTGAGGCGCCGAGTTTTAGTGGTGCTTTTGGAGAGTGCAAGTTTGCAGCGACGGCCATCCCTGCTACTGGGGTCTTTCGAGACCTGCTCCCTCAAAGCGTTCTCGTTCTGGGGGAGACCCCACGTTCGAAGGAGTTCGGTGCGCAGGTTTTTTCAATTCAGTTCGATAGCAGAGGATGTTGCAGAGTTCGAATTCGCTGTGCGTTCTTGCAAAAGTTTGCCACAGGCTGTTAGTGATTTGCCAGGCCCAATATTTTCTTTCCATGGATTCTCTTCGCATCTCGTCTACGTTTTGTCTCACGGCCATCTCACCGCAGTGCCAAATTGTACTGCAAAAACCCTTAGATTGTATCTTTTGATTTTGCCCCTTAAGCAGAGGGGCCTCCCAGAAGTGAGCTGAAGAGCTATGCTTCCCCTTAGGCAGAGGGGCCTTGTCAGTTTGTCAGTTTCGTTTTTCCCTGTTGGGATGATGTTCCGGGAAGAAAAAAGCACCCTCACACCTGAAGACGCTTCTTCCAAAAGCTCGCAAGCAGGTCCAAGGTGAACCGAGGTGAACAGCTCTCAATTTGGCACTGCTTGGTGTTCCCAGAGGATCCCAGTGATCAGTAGTGATGAGTAAACATCACCCTTCGGCGTGGTTTGAGTCGAACTGGTTGCCCACTGGTTGCCAGCGAACTAGCAATTGGATCCCCTGGGGTTGTTGACCTGCTAAATTGCAGGCATGGCTTGAATTTGGTCATGTCCTCGATTGACAACCAGGCAAGCGCTGGCAGGACAGACCCCATGAGATGCCTTCCCATCCGAGATGCTGCTGGGCTATGCCGGTCTTGTGAAAAACGTCGCAGTATGTTGCAGTGTCAAGTCAGTTTTGCAGGATTTCTATATGTACTCTCTTTGATTTACAGACATGGTAAGCGGCATCCGGACAGGTGCTTTCGAGAGAACTGGTTTTTGCCCTTTCCACATGTGCAGCAGAGTCATTCTATTTGGTGGTCCAATGATATCCTAGCAGCCAAACACGGTCAAACTTTTGACGGGTGTTTTCATGTCTTTTTCGGATCTCATTGAGCTGTTCAATCGCAGCACCTTTCAATCAGAGACCTCGGGCAGTGTATTTTTCACGTGGATCTGGCTGACAAAGAACAGCCGTACATTTGATCCGGCTGGGCCATCGAGTCATTTGGGAAACCAAAACCTCTTGCTTTGGATCATCGTTTTCCACGGTCATGCCTTCTGCCCCAATTAGTGAGTTGGAGTAAGGGGTTAGTGGTGGCCTGGTGAATGAAGATCGCGTCCTTGACAGGTCTCAAGTAGCCAGGATACTTGCACGGCAGATATCTGCCAGAGACCCCTTTCAATCCCTTTCATCAGCGATTGTGCTGTCACTTGATTTGCCATTCAAGTCAACCTCTGGCAATCAGGCACTTGTGGATTGAAGATCGCATTGAAGGGGGTGTGCGCAGCTCCTGTCTTCGCGTGTTTCATCATTTTTTTAAATTTCATCAGGGATTCAATACTTTCAAGAATCCTGCTTAAAGGGTGGACGTATGTGGACGTCGTGGAGGCCTTTATTGAGATGTTTCGTTGTTTTCTTTTTTCGCACATGATCCGTGTAGGGCTCCAGACTGTCATTCCTGTTGAGCTCATTCCTGTTGACTTCTTGCATTGGATTCGGATCTATGCTTTTCATTCCTCCTTTTCCTTCATCCTGATTTGACTTCATAGCCTAGATTCTCCAACATCACAAATCTTCTGGCAGAAGTTCTTTTTGTTGCCATGAAATGTCATGAAATCTCTTATTAATAGACAGCATTCAACAGAGCACCAACAATTGCCCAAACATCAGCCTGCCAAACATCTGAACACACTATGTATATAAAGAGTTTTCCCCTGACGGTCTTTTTGTCTCAGTGCTTCAGTGCATCTGACAGAGTGGCCAACCTACAAACGCGACGGCCTCCAACCTAAGAGCGATGACCTCCAACCTGGTAGTAAATGTTACAGTCAGCATGTGCACCTTTGTAACAAGTGAAACCGTGTGAAAACCAGCGTGTCTTGTTGTCAACTCTGGCTATGAAAGTATGTTGCATGGTCACAACGCTTGGGCTCTCCTGAACATCTCGTTCTCTCGGACATTTGTACTTCTGTTCTCCGTGGTTCTCTTGCGAAGTCCTCCAATATTTGCCTGTTCCCTGTGGTTGTTCCAGGTGCAAGTCTGACTTCCCCCAACTGAAGTAGACTGACCGCACGGTACTCGATGGAACACGGGAGCATTCCAGTCTGGAACCATTTGATCGAATCTAACATGTGATGTTGGAAACGCTGTGGACGAAAAGGGGAAAAACACTGTTTACGGCCTCCACGGTGGCACTGTGACGGATGCTATGCTTGTCCACGATTTTGTGTTGCAGAAAGGTTCTCAGTGTGTTGATGAGAGGTAAACCTAACAGGAGGTGACTAAGACCGTATTGAATTGATTGTTTCGTTCTGATCGTTCAAGACTGACCTTCCTTGCAACCAATTAATGTGAGACTAGCGGCTAGATGTGACTGGAGGCCGAGTCGGTTCTGGTTTTTAATCCACTCACTGGTATGGCGCCAGGTGAATGATGTATGCGAGCGTCCACATGTCAGTCACGATAAAAGGTGTAGAGCATACCCACCCGAGGCCCGAGGTGATATACTGCGTTACAAATGGACACTATACAGTCACCGGTTCTTTTCCGCGCTTTCTTTTCGTGCTGTTTCACTAGAACACATTCTTAAAACACCATTGAACACGCGTGCCGTGTGGTGCTGATTGAACCCGTTGCCGCGTGGCATATGTTCTGAACGAGCGGTTTGAGCATCGATGCATGGAGGATCATGGAGGTTTTGGGCGCTCTTCTGACTTGCAGACACCTTCAAGTCCATCGCTGGGTATATGTTGCACCTCTCAATTCCGCGTTCCTTTTGAGATTCATGTCCAAGAGACTTTACGTTTTTGTTCGTCTTTGCATGGGATTAGGGTTTGTAGCCTCCAGATGAATCGAGTGCAAATGCCGTTCTTTGTGCGTGTTTTGTTGTTTCTGAGGGGTTTTGACATCTTATATCATGACTTCCAAAATGGTCTGGCAGCAGGGCAATAGTCTAGTGTTGAGTGATTTGTTCTTGCATACATAATCAAGAACTGTGTTCTGAAGATGAAGCTCTCTCTCTCTCTCTCCCTCCCTCTCCCTCTCTCTCTTTGTCTCCTGGGAGCAGCATGTTTGACAACGACCTGGAGCTTTGTTGTGTGGCTTAGAAACATTTAGAAACCGAGATCTCGGGAAGTGTGCCACAGCCTGGACCCAATCAATTCCGCACGCAAAAGCCAAAGATGCATTGCTTGTTTTTTACATGGTTTTTCGGCTGTGACGGAGAACCTGGAAGGTGGTTTGTTCTTCGGCGCATGGATCTTCAGATCCACCCTTTTCTCTCGTGTGAAAGGCGGCTGAAAGGCGGTGAATCGTTGCGACTGGAGAGCCACCTAGAGGATCGACCATCAGCTCATCGGGTTCCTCACGCGACGTCGTACGTGGGGCCGGTGGCTAGTCCTTTTCCGGCTTCACGTGTGATGAGGAATGGTCAGAGATGTCAATGTAGAGGTTTACATTGGGTACACTGATGTATACTGTATACTCACCATCTTTTGTTGAAGTCACTAAACAACTTGTTCTTTGCCCAAGATTTTGACCATCCGTCATGTGTGATGGTCGTCATCTCCGGTTGCTTCCAGCAATTTTACTTGGGGCTACATCAGGAACAGATAGACGCCAGATAGATGCCACTCTCTGATTTGGAGAAGCTCAACCAACGTGCTTTTCTGGTGGGGTTTGTTGGTTGGCCTTTCCTGTTGGCCCCAAATCAAGACTATAGTTATATATGTCAAATGTCAGTGAGACTGGTCATCAAACCAGAAAAAGCTGCTGCGCGCCGCATGGGATGGTGGTCGAAGCCAAGTAGTGTAGAGGTCGTTGACCTCATGTTGACCGAGCACACGCAGGGAGGTGCAAGTGTCATGTTGACTTCATGTTGGCATGGAGTGTATGAATGTACTTCCCTATGGATCCACTGCCACCTTTTCAGAAGGTCATTGTAGGCTCCTGGCGCCCTGTTTCGTCAACAGTCGCTCAGAATGTATGTGGATCCATAGGGCATGGCATAGCATAGAGAGCCTTTTCTAATATATGTGGCTGTGGGTCAAAACCCAAAAGTCCTAATCCCTAATGGGTTAACCTCCCTTGTAGTGTATGCTGTTCATAGACTCCGTGGTCAATCCAGGTCTCCCGGGGTTGATCCGCGTTGACTCATGTCGCGCTCGCGTTGACTGGGCAGTCTCGCTGGTCAGGTGGCCATTGTTGACATATTCTGAATTCCTCCTTGAAACCAAGCAGGTGGTCCTCAAACATTGAGGCCTGTGATCTTCATGTTTCCAGATGTTTACCATTTTCTTTTGCTCTAATACATTCCTCTACCAAGTTTCATGGCAACTAATGCATGAATTAAGACAAATCCTGAAACATCAACTCAGCAACTCCTTTGGAAAACAGTATCAAGTCCGTTTTCTCAGAATCCCTTAATCATTCTTCTGAGCCCTGGCCCACTGGCTGCTCCGCGCGTGAACGCCGCCAACCGCCCCCGGCTTCGAGGCCGAGCACTCAAGGGGGCGCCTGGCACATGCATGGACTTCTGAGGTTCCCCGTCCGCGGCGTTCGGCACTGAGCGCGTTCGCCGAGTGGCGCTTTCGTCGTTTCAGGAGGTGAAGAAGCACCACCGCCGTTTCTCGGTCAAGTCCTGCCAGTGGCATGGTTGGTCTGGTCATTTTGGTTCCACCCGTAGATTGGCTGGTCGTCATGGCGCGGAACTTGCTAGTTTGCCTGGTGGGGTCGGTCAAATTATTGCCCCGGGCGGTTTCGAGCGGATTGTGAGAAACCACGAAAATGCAACGAATTGGATGGTCGAAGTGTTAGGGATTGGAAGCATTGGAAGGTGATGGTAGGTGTTGTTTTGTTTATATATAACTTATATATTAATATACCAGCACCACCCGAAGGGCTATTAAGATGGAAAACACATCTTCAGGGGGGGGTATAAACCACCCTTTGGGTGGTGCTGGTATATGCACGTAGTATATAGATTAAATCTGGATTAAACAGTTCTACGGCATGATTGCACTTTCTTCCATAGCAACTCAGCTCCAAGACTACTAGTTTACCTCTCCTTCCTGTGATACTTATACTGACTGTGTATTCATGATCCAGATCTAGCAGAAGAGGGACAACAGCAACAAAGACGACGACAACACCACCGACTACAGCAGCTACAAGCCCTCAACCATAATGACCAAAACCATCTTCCAGGCCGAACTCAGTTGTTCCAGCTCGATCTCCAGCGATCTCCGCGATCGTCGCCCCTCTGGCGACGGAGGCTTCAGGTGGGCGGCTTCTTTGTTGTGGTGCCCCAGACGGACGAGGCAAAAGGGGCAAGGATGGATAGGTATGGAACGCTGATACAATACGCGGAGGCCGCTTCGGACGGAGAAGTTGTGTTCCTCCTTGGTCATTGTGGATGTGTTAATGGAATTTTGTAATCTTGAAGTTTGAACATGTTTAAACTGACCTCCGCCCCACATGACCGACGTCTTGATCCTACCGGGAGTCATGCGACAAACAGGAGGGCACCGCATTGTCGCACCACACTGTGCGAGGTCGTAGATGTTCGTGTCAAGTCCTGGAACCCGATCCACACGGACACGGCCGGTCGTGGGTGGCCGGCTGTGGGCACTCCATTCCCACTTCTCCAACGCCAGGCTGAGTTCTTCCAGGCACAGTGTGCGGACATGTGGGTTGTCCCTTTGCAGCTGCCGGAGCGCACAACAAAAAGAGCGAAACATGTGTGTCACATCAGGTCACACCTTGTGCCTGTCGCCAGGTACAGGGAGTTTGTGTTTGTGTCCTTTTTTCAGCTGAATTTTCGTTCAACCGCTGGCCCGTGATGGCGCGGGTGAACGAACGCTATGTCGGGGCTTCGGACGAGTTCGATTCGCTTTGGAGTGTGTTCAGTCGTTTTGGAGGATGAACATGTATGAAAATAGTCGTTTTGGAGAGGTTGGTCTGATCGGGACACGGTGGTCTTCAGCAGAACAACAATATAAAACACATGCATTCAAGCCATTTTTTTCAGGTTGAAGGATCTTTGGACTCTGGGGTTCCGGATTCTGGATCCGAGTTCTGGATTTTGCCCATATTTGCCCTTTTTAAATCACACAAATTGTTTAATAAGCTACTGTATCAATTGTTTTCATTCGGATGTTTTGAAGAGAAGCCCCCTCTAGTGAAACATGTATCCAACAAAAAATCCAGTTTGAGTTGACTGGGCCGCCTGCAACATGTTCTTGATTTGTGGATGTGGATTGAGTAATTGAGTTGGTGTGTTTCTTGTTTGATGATCACAAGATTCAATTCCAGGGTTGCAGACATGAAGAAGTCGGTCCATGTTCACTCACAGAGTCTCATTTTTGGACCGTGAAGCAGCATTTGCGTAAAGGTTTTCGAGTTTAGTTCCCATAACAATTGAACGAATTGAAGCCTCTTGAAGCCTTCAAGCAATTGACGTCTTTGATTTTCTGGAGCGCCAGGGCCAGGGCAGGCACTTCATGCCGAAAACCGCTCCCATACTGTAACACTCCATGGGTTTCCCGCAGGGCACTGTTGCTGGGGTCTCGAGAGACTGGTTCTTGTCCATCCGGATTCTTACAAATTCTTGGCAGGAAGCAGTATACTGGTAAGAATGAACATGACTGGTTCTTGGGCTTGTCCTGTCAAGGCAAGAACAATTCATTGTCCTTGTCAAGAATTGCTGGCCCAAGTTCGGCCGCGTTGGCTTTCCAGTTCCCATGGCCCGAATCGTGCTTCAGTGCCTCGGGGGCGTGTCGGTGAGGCCCATGGTGGCGTGATTGACGGCCTGCCTTTGCGGCGAAAGAGCGTTCGCCCAGCTCAGAGTGAAAAACGGGTCCACCGAGGCGAAGCAGCCTTTGGGAGAGGTGAAGGATGCAAAGCAAGTACCAGCACCACCCGCACCAGGGCTATTCTTAGATGGAAAACACATCTTCAGAGGGGTCTAAAAACCACCCATTTTTGGGTGGTGCTGGTGGGAGTTCCCAACAAATTTCGAGCCTAGACATGCTTGCTACCAAGACCTGGACCCTCTTGCCCTGAATGGATTCGGGCTGGAATTCTAGCCTGGACGAGTTCCTAGGTACGACAGGCACAAGCTTCGAAAATCGCATTTCAGATCAGCATCACATCGCCAAGAGTTAAATGGAGACTTGTCCGTCCACTTGAGGTCGATGATACGTGTACCTGGCCAGCACCATCCATTTCATGTGGTTGATCGAAGGACAAATACTGTAATTGTCTATGAACCACCCTATCCGTGGTGCACAGGAATTGGAGCATATTGAAACATCCTTATTTCTCTGCAGACTGTACACGACCAGAATGTCGGTATACAACTTGCGATTAGGTGGTGAGATTTGGACTTCCCCAGACTTGGGACAAGGTCAACTGGCACAGGACGTTTACAAACGGCTCCAAGTCCCAGTACTGAATCTGAGATTTGTACACTACGACAGAGACTAGAAAGCGTGGACTTCGGCTGGGCGGGAGAAAGAACATGTTGCTCTAATGTATTGTAAGCTATTTTTTATTGACATGGTAGGTAAACTTGCAAGAACATAGCGTCTCTCAAAAGCAGTATATACACAGAGCGCAGCGAGGCGCAAGCAAATATAAGGTTTTTTTTTCCATGTCTTTCCAACACTTCCTACTCACACCAGCGCAGGCTTCTCTCAAACTCTTTCTGTGTATTCGCTTTCGTACGTTTCGTTTCTTGCATGCCCATGACCAGCTTGCATCCCGAGGTGATTGCTTTTCATCCCCAGATGCTCTTTGAGGAAGGCCAGATGCTCCGGAGTCGCTGCGAGTGGACGGCAATCCTGCCGAAGGCAGTCTGACATCGGCTGCCCAAAGAGGTTGAGATGGGAACGAACAGCTGCAACTGCCAGATGGTCAAGAGTTTCAGTGGCGACAGAAATCCACTTGGAAGTAAGGGGGACTACGACCTGCGGTTGAGGGACAAACTATAGAGAAAACTACCTTAAGATACCTTATAAGATGGTTCCAGCAGTTTTGTAAGATACCTTAAGGAGGGATGGTCACTTAGCTCCACCTCAGCTCCACCTCGGCTCCCAACTCCGATTCTTGGTTCCCTTGGATGATGTCTTCGGTCAACTCCTGGAGTGACTCAACACACCGTTCGTGGATGGTCTGCACAGTCAGTGGATGGTCCGCACGATCGTCCCACTTGACTAGAACAATCCAGCACCACCCGCACCAGGGCTATCATTAGATGGAAAACACATCTTCAGAAAGGGTCTAGAAACCACCCATTTTTGGGTGGTGCTGGGGATGTAAATGATGTAACTATGCTGCCCCGCTTCCAAACACTCTTGGCTCACCATGTGTTTCTCGACGATGTGGAATTTTTGGGTCAGCCGAACTGGCCGTTCAAGTCCATGCCACCAAAAACACGTCCTTGACTGCTGGGAAAGGCCTTTGACCATTTCGAGACCTGGACCTCAATTTCGAGACCTGGACCTCCAGCATACTCAGACTGAAGCGATCCAAGCCTTCGCATTTCGCGACCCAGTCGCGGAGTGAACGGCCAAGTCCCCCGTCGATGGACTGATCCAGGCGAAGAGTTGGACCACAGCCCAGGCGTCCCGCAGGGACGCAGTTCCACGTGAACCGAACCTGAGAGAAGCTGATTGGAGACGATGTAGGCGGCTTCGGACCAAGCAAGCACCTAACCTGAGAAGCTATGTGGATCCCTATAGCCTATATGGCATAATGGTGAAATACCGACTTCCAAGGTGTGCTTGAACCAAACGCGTCCCCTCCCACCCCGTGAGTCGGATGTGAAACAAATCCAATGAGTCGGATGCGAACATGGAACTTCTGGTTTCTGGATGTTCTGAACAGGAGTGCTTCTTGATATTTCTTGATGCATCTCAAAAGACTATCACTTCTCTCCCACCTCATCATTCACGACCGGCCTCTGGGAAGAGTCCACTTGAAATAGGATAAGCCTTTTGGAGAATATGTGAAAGCCCCACGAAACAAAACAAGAGCAAACCGGTGGATGTCTGCTTCCATCGATCGCTTCCGGATCGTGTTTGGAGTCGCACCATGTGAGTCAACTCCACAACATTCCCCAAACACTCCATGTGTGGTGTATGAGTCCCTGTCAGTTTATCACAGGGAGACGAGACAGGTCAATGGATGTTTGGTCAATGGGCGGCAGGTCCATGCCAGGTCCTACATCCGGGAACGCCAGTCCCAACCCGAAAAAACACTGCATCGATGTTCCTATTTGTGGCATGTTGTTTTAAATGTATGCATGAAGCAACTATATAAGATCCTTTAACTTATGTGTAAGTGGTTGGGACTCTAGAAACATCCACAACTGAACTGTTTTGGTGGGTTTCCAGGATGAAGTCAGTTTTGCCAGGTTGGGAACGTTTGGAGGACTCGGTGAACGTCTTCCGTGGTGTCGCCCTGGAGTTGGGCCTCCCGAACGTGAGCGAAGTCGCCACGAAGCGTTCGTCGTTGTGGTTGGGGGGTCCGGAAGTGATGCAGGTGGTGAGAATGGTGAAACATGCATTCAGAGGGGTAGAATAGTTTTATGGATAGTTTTATGCATGTCTATGAGCCTGTGAATGTTACATGACCTCATGACCGCCATGTTGCTTATTTAGAAAACCAGTGGGGCAAGGGAGCGTTTATTTTTTTTCACGGGCGCCTTGTAACTTCATCGGGTGTTATTTTAATTGCTTGTTCACTCAAAGGGTTATGGACCATTACATGGACATCTTGGACTCTACACTGTACAATATATATGTGGAGGACTCCGTGACTCAGGGTTCATCTTTCGGTTCCGAGGATGTACTTACAACTGAGATGGAACACCCTGGGTAGGAACTAGTGACTCCGCTTGAAAAGTATTCCTGGATCCGCAAGGATTGTATGCGATTCGTCAGTAGCCAGCGCTTCCACCGTGTAGAGTATCGAGTGGATTGCAGTTGAAGCCATCACAGTGTGAAGTTGAGTCACCAGCTGAGGCTGGAGTGTGAGCATCGTTTGGGAGTGTGGCGCCCAAGAAGGAATCTATAGCGGTCTACGGTTTGTGCTTCAGGGATCAACCACCTCTTGGATGCGTGTGTCTATAACATATCCTACAAATACCCCACAGAGGATCCCATATTCCTTTCTTCGACTGAGAAGGAAGCAGGCAGATGCAACCTTGGTTTGGCAACCTTGCTGGCTGTGTTCATCAGACAGCGTCAGACCGTCTCACCAAGCGTGATCAAGCAGATCAAGCGAGAGCGGTGTCGGTGTGGACCGGGCTCCGGCACAGACCCCCTGGCACCCACCCCAACCACCGAACCGAAACGGATGTTGGTTAAGAGCCCAAGGGGGACACTCATGTTGTGAAGATCGTCGCACGATCGCGCTTTCAGGGATTCTCAGAGTTCGGTGTCTATCCGCAGCTGGTTTTGTGAGGCTGGTGACGGGTAGTACAGGTGCCAAAACAAGATTAGTGATTAGTACCTCGAGATCGCACTTTTTGCAGATGTTTGCAGAGTTGCCCTAATATTTCTGTCGCTGTAGAGAACTGCTATGTTCAGTTCTTTTGTCTGCAGATCCACAGATGTTTGCTTCCATGTGTCCAAGTGAAGAACGAGATGGCGCATCCTTCCACATCTGCAAAGTCACACTAAGATCTGGCTCTTTGCGGGAAAGTACTGGGCCAGGATCATCAGTGGCTTCGCCGCAGGTGTTCTGTGTGCGATCGGTGTGGGGTTTGCGGCAGGGCCTTCGTTTTGGACGCGCCAGTTGGCCCGTTGACACGCACTCTGACATCCTCTGACTCATTGGAAGTGGACGGCATGGACCCTGACGGTTTTAAGACCAAACAGGTTGGTTTCCACTTCCATGGAACATGAGCAGCGTGACAGTGCGACAAGCACTAAATTTGTGACCCCGAACACACGCACAGAAGAGGTTCGAGATGAAAAATGCAAAGCACAAAAAATACTCAGCAAAATAAAAACACACACCAAAAACAAACCTAGACTCAGCCCAGAACTCAAGACCAAACTCAAAAACACACTCAACTGGAGACTCAAGTAGCAGAAGGTTGAACGGAGGAAAAAAAGAAATCCGGACTCAGCAACAGAGAATTTGAGTCTGGATTTGAGTCAGTCTGGATTTGAGTCTGGATTTGAGTCTGGGTTTGAGTCTGGGTTTGAGTCAGTCTGTTTTTTTTGAGTCTGGATTTGAGTCTGGGTTTGAGGCTGGATTTGAGTCTGGATTTGTTTTTTCTGAGGGAAAACGCAGATTCCAGCCCACCCTAGCCTAGCCCCCAGAAAGCAGCAAGTGACTCAACACCAAACTCAAACTGGATCTCAAGCACTTGAAACCAACACCAGACTAAACAAATAATTCGCATAGAAATATATAGAAATCAGAACAAAGACTCGCATGGAACTTAACGATGGCAGAAGGTTGAACAAAGGAAAAAAGCAAATCCGGACTCAGCAACAGAGAATTTGAGTCTGGATTTGAGTCAGTCTGTCTTTTTGAGTCTGGATTTGAGTCTGGGTTTGAGTCTGGATTTGAGTCTTGTTTTGTGTTTTTTTTGAGTCCTGTCCTAAGTAGACCTGTTCTCCTGAGTGTGGATTTGTGTTTCCTATTTTGTATATTTTTTGATTATATTTTTTTTGAATTGTTCAAGCATTTTGGCTCTGTGTGTTGAGTTCGGGTTCACAACACTAAATGGTAGTCGTGTTGGCATTCAGCCACCTAATCCTAATTTCCAATAAAATCGAGGCATGGGTTGTTGAGGCTTTCCATGAGCTACCGGGTTTTCCTTCAGTTCTAGTATGTTCTAGTTAGCTTTGCACACCTGCAGCTGCCTGCACCCGCTATTCCGGCCAGTGGGCGAGAATAACATGTCAACTTCCAAGCTAATTCCATCTTCTCGCTACTTGAAACCAGCAGCCAAAAACGTCTTAAAATCCTGCCGCCTGTGTATAGACATGGACATCTGTCGCATTACTCAGTGAGGATGAGAGCAACGGATCTTACTGCGTTCCCGTGGTTCTGAAAGGTTGACGCGTGACCGCGTGCTGTTCGAATTGGGCAACGGGAAACCGCCATGTTTGGTACAAATCACTTGTCCAACGTCTTCCTTTCAACAGAGGATCCAGGTGGAATGCGCTAGTCCGGCCGAGGGGAGATCGCCAGTCCTGGAATTCTCAGGTATGGTTTAGAGAATGAAATTCTTCGAGCAGCTTCCAAGCTGACCCATCATGTCCACAAGCATGTTTAAGGGATTAGGGATGAGCGACGAACCGGTACAAAGGAAATGATGGGTCTTTATCCCATTTCAGTTGTTGAGATGAGTGAGGAGGGTGACGGCGAATGGACAGGGAAAATACAAATGACTGATTTAAGACATCTCTTTATTTTTAATGGACATATGATGGGCCCTTTATTCTAATTTAAAGTAATATAATGAGAATGAAGGGGTTACGATCTCGGGCTGAAGATGAAAGAGATTAAATATGTGAACCCGAGATCGTATAATGATTTTAGCTTTACCCTTCATATTTTATATTTAGAAATGCATGATAAAGTATTAAAGGAGAAATCACCCACTGCCAATCCATTTATTCACATATTTTATATAACATGGATTGGCTAGGTCATATATTATCTTGGCAGGATTTCATTATAGAAAATCACGTATTTTAAGTCCTGTATATTAAAACATATACAATATCTTAGACGTACAATACAATGACCACAAATGTTAGTTTATATTAATTGGTGGGGCTATCGGCTAAGTCATATAATGCTATAATAATTGCCATTGGCTTATTTTATGCCTATCTTTTATAACAATATTAATCGCCAATGGCATTCATAAGATATAGAAATGAATGTTGATGGCTTTTACATATCTTATATTTATTCATGGTAAAAGCCATATATCTATATAATGGTATCTTTGTTTCATTCGTTTATTCCCTGGCGTAGAGCGGCCAGTTGCTGGCTCGACCAAAGGTATCCAAAGGTTTAAGAAGTGAATTTGAAGGAAACATCTTTTGCTTATTTGATCTATCTTCCAAGTCAGATGAATTCTGCTGTTGAATGTTGATTTGGGATGATTTTGAGGTACTGCCGGTGGTGGCTGGTAGGCCACTTGCGCCAACCTGAGGTGGTAGCTCTTTGGTGGCCAGGGAAGCTCAGTGATGCTTTTCACAACAGCCGCACTTGGTGAGCACGGTGAGCACAAGTTTTGACCTGTTCGACGATTGCATACGATGCTATGATCAAACAATGATGTTGCAGGAATGCAGGAATGCAGGGGTATGTTTCGGGACATCCGCCGATGTGAACATTGACAACATTGACAACATGAACATTGTGGATGAATTCCCGGTGCTTGGCAATGCCTCAGACCAATTCTTGTTTTCGAGATGCACTAAAAGAGAGCTCTTTGTGGTGAAGGTCACTGGGCAGGTACAATTGCCCGTACACCTGGTCACCTCAAACACAAAAAGCATCTCCTGAAACATGTTGTGTGTGTTGTGTGTGTGTTTGTGCGTTTTGATTCGTTTTGATTGCTGTTCACTCAAAAGCTGGGCCAAAGACATTGTGGACATCCAATCAGGGGGACTGCAGAATTGTGTCTTGCTGCATGTGGAGAACTCCAGTCTCACGACACCAGGCTTCGATGAAGCGTGACGCATAAACAGCCGGGGCCAAACCGGTATATCTGGAATGTCCTTACATTCTCACTTCATATCACAGCTGATGTCCGTTCACTTTCTAGAACATGAAATCAGCTTCTCATGTTGAAAACAGTTGAACCCAAAGACTCTTCTTCAGTTTTCTCCCAGTCTTTGCCTTTTCCGGCTTTTCCGATACTCAGCTTAGTTCTCAATTCGTGTTTCAACTAGACCGGCCAGACTGGACAGTAGACTGGACTTACTTGCTTAACCACTCCATGGACTGGCACATTTGCCTACATTGCGGTGGTTTCAGGGTGTAGGCACATATATGAATATAAATATAAATATATGCATATATATATATGCATATATGTAATATTATCGTCATTTATCATACATTCCTATACATAGACTTTTGCCACCATGCTGAAAAATACCTATTCCTCCCCATGGAGGACTTTGGGTTGGATTCTCCCCATGGCATGAGGTCGAGGCGAGGCCAAAGAACTTTGAGGCTTTGGCTGGGGAGGCCTACCTCACTTGATCGGATGCTTTGGGAATCGACGAGTTGTTGGTTGTTGCTCGGTCCACTTGCACCTGGAGAGCTGTTCTCGAAAGGCACTCGGGACCTGTCGGTTTGGATTGGAGATGCTCGAAGAGAATTCTTTGAAGGTTAGAATCTCAGACCACAATGATGTTTTTCCACAAAGATCCTAAACATGTCTCCTTCGAATTCGATGCTGTAACAAGCCAGTGTGGGTGACCTTTGTAGATCCCACCGGTTTGCTACATGATCAGCACCCTGTCGCCAGCAGCAAACACGCCCTTGTCACGACTCCCTGTCACCAGGAGACACCAGGAGATCGAGAGAGTTCTTCACCTTAACCCCCCCAGCACCACCTTTTGGCGGTGCGGCCGTGCGGACCACGTGACCAGGTTCGGCAGCCTGGCCAGTTGATGCGGGCAGGCGGGTGCTGGGAATTGGGCCGCGTCCCATAGACCGGTGGGCCCCAGGGCCGTTGCTTCTTGCGGGGGAGAAGGAGTTGGGTCAAGGCAAACATCGGACACCGAAAAGCAGGTCTTAAAGGTTGATGATGAAGATGACCGTCGATGTAGCGAAGACATGCGAAGACCTCGTTGATGAAGTCATCAAGTAGGGCTGCTTTGATCATGTTGCGGCGAAGACCAGGTGAGAGCCAGTGTTTCGATACGACAGTAGAGACTGTCCAATGAGATTCCTCAATCTTTGGATTTTAAATTTGGCTAAATTTGGCACAGGACAATGCAGAGCAAATTGATTTGCAAGCCTCCCTAATTTTGGAGAACTTCCCCGTCAGGTCGTACCTACCTTCTTCTGACTTACCCAGTCATTTGACAACCTTTAACGTTTTTAGGGGGGTTGGTTTTGCGGTTTCCCCACTCAAATCCCACAGGTAAACAGAACGGCGGGTCAATTGGTGAACTGAGGGAGTCAGCGACGTCTTTGCAGAGACAGACAGGTACGGAACACCGTTAAGCAGAAGACGACATTGTGTCATGGATCCGAATCTCCGAATCTGGCGGTGTCATGGAATCGTCGTTTTTGTTGCTTTGATGCATTTTGATGGGGGGGTTCGCTGGAGTGGATCCGTCACGCACCAGTCGACTGTACAGACGCTTGATGAAAAGAATCGCCCCCCCCAAAATGTATCTGGAGTGTCAAACACTTCTGAACGACGGCGACATGTTCTTTGTCCTGGTTCCCTTTTTTTGTTTCGTTGGTCAGTCTTGGAACGGCCAGTTTAACCCAGCATGTTCGATGGTTTTGGGGAATGGGACTATTCCTGGGCCACCACCAAAACGGCTCAAAAACTGGCTCCAGCAGCTAGGCTTTCTGACTCCGCTTTCGCTTCAAAAGAGGACCCAACGCTGACCTTTTCTTCGATCACACGACCGCCAACGCTGAGCTCAAGGACTGCCCCCCCATCTCCCCGGGCAAAACAGCGGACTCCGGCAGCGGAGGAAGGTTGGGTGGGATCCTGGAGTCGTTGGGCGCTTGGGTCATTGTTGGGGGCCTGGAGGGCAGCTGGATGGGTTATGTTTTCTGTTTGTGGCAAGCTCAGCAGGGTATGGGAGGAGGCCATCGCTCTTCGGTTCGAGGCCATCGCTCTTCGGTTGGAGGCCATCGCTAGTAGGTTGGAGGCCATCGCTCTTCGGTTGGAGGCCATCGCTCTTCGGTTAGAGGCCATCGCTCTTCGGTTGGAGGCCATCGCTCTTCGGTTGGAGGCCATCGCTCTTCGGTTGGAGGCCATCGCTCTTCGGTTGGAGGCCATCGCTCTTCGGTTGGGGGCCGTCGCTGGTCGGTTGGAGGCCATCGCTCTTAGGTTGGAGGCCATCGCTCTTCGGTTGGAGGCCATCGCTCTTCGGTTGGAGGCCATCGGTCTTCGGTTGGAGGCCATCGCTCTTCGGTTGGAGGCCATCGCTCTTAGGTTGAAGGCCATCGCTCTTCGGTTGGAGGCCATCGCTCTTCGGTTGGAAGCCATCGCTCTTCGGTTGGATGCCATCGCTCTCAGGTTGGAGGCCATGGCTCTTAGGTTGGAGGCCATCGCTCTTAGGTTGGAGGCCATCGCTCTTAGGTTGGACGCCATCGCTCTTGGGTTGGACGCCATCGCTCTTCGGTTGGAGGCCATCGCTCTTAGGTTGGAGGCCATCGCTAGTAGGTTGTACGCCATCGCTCTTGGGTTGGACGCCATCGTTCTTAGGTTGGAGGCCTTTGGTTGGAGTTCGTTGTTTTTTTTCAGCTGAGCTCCCCAGGATGGGATCTTTCAGCAGACCTTGCCGAGCGGCGAGATCGAACGATGGAAGGCACTTGCCGAGCGGCACGGATGAAGCATTCAGGATTTATGGAAGAGATGCAGTTGATTGCTTCATGAGGATGAGCATAGCGAAAGGGATTGCCTTTTGCTCTTGTTCAGGGACATACCCGTGGGGAACCAGGGTGGATCTGGCCTGAAAGTGATAGGACGGGATAGGATGCCTCCTTTTCGACGGGAAACCTTCAGTTGGGAAGTTCATATATGACGTGAGACAATAAGTTCATGCTTCACACCCTGTTGACACCTTGGGTCGCAGAAAAGCAGCCAGGTCGCCCAAACATCATGCCGAACTCGAAATCAGTCACACCAATTCACCGTCTTCGGTTCCCCCAAACTCAACCGGTTTGGCACGTGCACCGTTTGGGAGGGAGACAGTGAAATCATTGGACTGGGGGAGGTCATAGCCGCCTAGAAGGCGCCCAACAGGCCCCAAGCTGGTCAAAAGGGAAACAAATCCGTTAGAAATTCATTGGTTGGTGCATCTGCTCGGGGAAACCTACAAAATCCATCAAATTCCCTTGGGCTGCCGAGTCGCCCCTCTTCTGTTCACTCATCCTATTCCACCCCACTTCCGACTTCCTTAGAAGACTCTTGGACACAGCTTTGAACTGACACAGCTCCAGGTGCATGTGATGACCTTCAACCCCTTTGTGCGTGTCGAGCCGGTGAAAGTTGAGGCGAGAAGCCGTTGAGGTTGTTGAAATTAGTTCACCCTTGATCGGTATGGATGTGATGGCACAATGGGTACTGTAGACTGATCTATTTTGAACCCATGGGGTCGTTGCCTGCATGGGAGGGAGACCCATGTGTAGCAGCTACACACCGATGTTGACGGTTTGGGCATACTTGGGCAGACCTGTGCACCTTGAGCCCAAGAGACCTGCCAAAGGCCCACAAAAGGCACATCAAGGTGTCGGACTGGGGAATGACGAAACACGATGGAGGCTTTCGCATGCTTTCACCCAGGATGCATTGCATATTATATATTATATATATTACAAGCAGTGTGTGTTTCTAAGGATGAAGACATAGACCTGGAAAGCGAACCAATCCTGCTCCAAGTATACTTCCTCAAAAGGTATGACCGGACCTTCCTGGGCACCCGGACCTCCAGTCCCACCTTCTGAAAGAGAACACTTGGAGACCTAGGGTTAGATGTTAAAGCACACGTTTAACATCGTTTAACATCGTTTAAGTGTGATCTAAGTACAAGTCTACTGGGTAGACTCAACTGGGTCACCAGACATTGTTGAGCTTTCCGTTTGCCCGCTTTACACTGGAACAGTTGGCAAAACCGATGCCACAACAGTCAACCGGATGATCTCCAAGGAAAAGAGAGTAGTGGAGAGGGTCAGCAAATACATTGCAAGTTTGCCCAACTGATGCATCGTTTGGGCTCCTCATGGCTCCTCAAACACGACTCTAAGCCCTAGTGGCGATGGCCTCCAACCTACTAGCGATGGCCTCCACCCTACCACCCTACTAGTGATGGCCTCCAACCTACTAGCGATGGCCTCCACCCTATTAGCGATGGCCTCCACGATACTAGCGATGGCCCTCCAACCTACTAGCGATCGCCTCCAACCTACTAGCAATGGCCTCCACCCTACTAGTGGTGGCCTCCCCCCCTACTAGCAATGGCCTCCACCCTAGTGGCAAGGGCCTCCTAAGGCCCTGTTTCTGAAGCACTTTGTTCTTTGCTCATCCACTCGGAATCCACTCCTTCCCCCCCTGAGGCGCCTGGACCGGCGGGACCGTCGACGGGAGCGTCGACGTCCGCGGTGAAGACGTCGACGCCCTTTGTGGAGGGCACTGCAGTGAAGTACTGGAGCGTCACAGCAGCCTGGACTAAAGCAGAGAGCTGCACACTGGACACACTGGGCTGGGTAAAAACCAAAAAGGACGATTCTGAACTTCTTAGTCTCAAGGAAACTGATCCACTCGGTCCGATGTACCTGAGTTTCATGTTGCTTTGAGGCCCACTAAACTTGATGGGGGCCTGGTTTGGCCAGCCAGTGGACTTTTAGAAGCACCATCTCAGAAGCTCAATACGCAAACACTCTTGTTCATTCAAATTCCGGTGATCTCTGAGAATCCCATGGACCGTTGATCCTTGCCCCACCGCGCGTGCGTTTTGCAGACCGGTGCCCGGTCTTAGGTGTCCCATCCCCACGGACCTGCGACTCGGCGGTCGGTCTACGTTCTCCCCCATGACATGGTTGCATCATTTCTCGGGGCTAGTCGGCCAGGTTTTTCATGGATTTGCGAGTGATACAGTTGGCCTTCCAAAATCAGTGCACCCTGCTATACCCTGCTACACCACACTTGAAGAGGCGAAAACCCAATAAATCACCAAACCCTGCCAGGTTTTTCATCCCAATAGATTCTCCGGTCGCAGCCGCCTTTTCGGGTCAAAGCGACTGGGTCGTGAGGTGCAACGGTGGGTGCCAGCGACCATCGTGAAACAGAACGAGGACTGCCTTAACAGGTCCGAAACAAGGCGTGTGCCTTGGTGCCTTGACCCCTGGTCCTTTGGGGTGATGAATTGAGAGGTTCGATGGCGCAAGTTACCCCAAGTTTGGTGGTCCCTCATTTGTCTAACGTGATTTTCGGGTTTGTGATGGTTTGTGTCATCTATATAATCTGAAACCACTGTATAGAAGGGATGTCGTTATTGATTTCACCAGAGATTGTCCAACCTTTATCAAAGAACCGCTTGAGAGCCAAGTTGAGTGATCGCAGATGTCAGAGATCTTTTTGCAGTTTAGCCCGGTGATTTCGGGAGTCAAGCGCTGTGGAAGCCATTTGCTGTGGGAGCAGTCTTGGGGTTGATCATGATTGATATAACTCTTCGATGATGAGCACCTACATGCCACCAACGGCCGCAGGGGCGTTGGTGTAATCATCAGTTGTGCAAGGAAAGGGACGCAAGCAGTATGTGAAAGGAGACATAAAGCTCCTACAAACCGTTTGCTGGCTAAGAGCTTTGTGCATGGCCGAGGAAGGGGTGTTTTCTCAATGTTGCGGGGTTTCTAGCACAATAGCTGCCCAGCCAAACATCCAAACGATTCTGAGGGGTGGGAAACGCTTCGAGTTTGTTTGGCTGAAGCAGGTTCAAATAAAAACGCTTGGAGCAGAGGGGAGCGCGAGTGCCCCTTTGGAACGAGACTCTAGGCGCCTTTCCAGGTGGTTCAGAGAAGAAGAAAGAATGGGTTATCCCCCCCCCCCCGATTTTGGGGCTCCAACGACCTCATTGCCAGGATGCAAAGGCACCCCGGGGAGGACTCTCGGGAGCGGTCTCCGTAAGGCCAGGCGGAATTCTGCCGGGCTCGGCGGAAAACCGGCAACATCTGTAAATCAGAGAGGACTGGCAGTGGACATGGCAGTTGCCATCAATTTGCCAATGCGAAAGCCGTTGGTAATCATGGCTTGCCGGCGGTGCAGAAACCTGGGGTTCTCCGGTGCGAGTCCAGGATGGTACCTACAGATTGGACCTCAAGAAGCGTGCTAACCCGCTCGTGTGCCCAGATCAACTTGGCAAAGCAGTTGACATGTACCGTGGGGTGGCACATGGCACATGAAGGCCGGCACGTGGCTCTAAATGGTTCTCTGGTTCCTTGGACTTGGTTCGCTGGTGAACGCTTGGTTCGTTGGCACAGGATTCTGATATCAGCTGATCGATCACCCGTGGCACCCCCCCCAAGAATTCTTGGACCCTCAATTGGCAGGGGTCCGGACCCTCCAAATTACATATATTATTTGCGGGCTTAAAGTCTGAACATAATATCTAGGGTTTGTCCTATTAGCTGTAACAGTCAGTAATACATGGTTACAGCGGTAATAGGATCCACCCAAACAATATTTGTTTACGCACTGTCTCGGATCGATCATAAAAAGAAACAATCGAGAAACAGGTTCGTGTCGTTGAGGTGTTCATGTTGATCCTGGTCCTAGACACACTGTGTAAAATGTATGTTTGTTCATCTAAAAGGACCAGCCAAAAGCTGTTGCATACTTAGCATGATGAGTTGGAACGTTATGATATTATATACTGTAATATATACCTTGACCAACCTTGACCCCAGGTCCACCCCGGTGAAGATGGCATGTTGATTGGTCCACCTGAGGCAGCATCTCATCTTGCCCGAGGCGAACGAAGGGAGTCGGATGCCCGCCGATGGGATTTTTTCTGGAAAGCATCATCACCTGCCGACTGAGTCGGACGCCAGGTGGGAATTGGGATGTTAGGTCAGTCGAGGGATTTCGAATGATGGTTTCGAGGGTGACATGGTCGCTTTGAAGTCATGATGTTGGATGATGTTTCTACTCTGTGGTTTTGCCAGGTTGAGGGTTCCTTTGGCCACATTAAGTTGTCAACCATCAAGATGTGAATTTGCTTATCCTACACGTTGCCTCTGCTTCGTAGCACTCCTTTCTCAATGTGAAAGGGGTGTTTTAAATTTATGCATGTGAGGAAGCCTGAAAATTTCAGAATACGTAAGTTCTTATACTTGTTTGGGGGGCCGAGGATCAGCCTCCCTACTCGATGACCTCCCTGAACAGTGGAGGACGACATTGGAGCAACTTTGTGTTCCGCTTCCCAATTTGGTCCGTAATGGGGCCGGATGAACACCCAACGACTACTTCACTGCCAGGCTACCGGCTAGTACCGTACAGCTGCTTGAAGCGTGAAACAACAAAAAGGGGGGCCGACTCTCGGTACCAACGTGTTCGGCCGCCACGTGCCGCTCGGCAGGAAGATGCACCGTCGCTGGGCAGCCGCGAGTTGCGCCGTTGCGCCGTTGCCGAGCGATCCCACAGGTCCTACCAGTCTGGTTGCAAGTTGAGGTTGGATACCCAGACCATCCATGTAAGGAATAGTTCCTGACATGGAATCCTCATTGAAGATGACCCCCATCCCTGTGGTAGAACTCTTCCAGTCCCACGGGTCATGTCAAATACAGCCACAGATCGACCACTGTATTTCCGGAAAAAAAGGCACAGCAGCTGCTGGGACCCAGGGCGCAACCAGAGAGAGATGCGTTGATCCACTCGCATCACGACGAGCGCAAGTGGCGGTACCACAGACCATCCCCACTGGCGGTACCCCAGTGCGGTTCATCCTTGGCCCAGCAGATCTGGTTCTTGAAAAACGGCCAAATCTTCTTCGTCTCTTCCAGGATAACTTGTTCGCAAAGTGAGTTTTTGTTTGGGATGAAAGGGGAAGTGTTTTTCAGTGCAGCAATCTGAAGTCATGGCGAACACAGAAGATCGCAGGAGTGTCAGTTAGATGGGTTTACGGTTGAAAGACGAGGAAACAACGGTGGGCTGGAGTTCTTCCAGCCGTCCGAATGGGGAGATGCGGAGATGCCCGAAAATCGTCCGTGAGGAGGGAGTAAAAATAGATGAGCACCATTACCCAGACACTCCATGTATGCCATATTATATGCCGCCCCATTTACCCCCCAAACCACCCCAATGTAGGCATATATGGCATATACATAGAGTGTTTGGGCATTATAAGACCATCCACTGGCCCAAACCATCCACTGGGCCTTGTTTCCTAGTGTTCGTTCAAGCGAACCTGTGTTCGTTCACCTGATACCTTTGGTGGCAGAGGAGTACCAATTCATGTACCAAACGACCTTGTGTCGAGTTTCGCCAGGCGAGTCCAGGCAGGTCCATTGGGAGTTTCGCTGGTCCATTGGGTCGGTTTCTTGCCCAGGCCGCTCAGAGCTACAGGAGCAGGGTTTGTTGGACGATTGCCAATCTGTTCTTGGTGCATTTGGGTATATGTTGGGCCTGTCCTATTACCTGCAACAGTCCGCAAACAGTTACAATATGTGATCATCAATTATCACTATTTTTGAACAAGGCCTGCGACACAACCATCATCATCCACTCATACTGGTACAGTAATTGGATAGACCCAAGGTATGTCCTTTACTAGGGAGCCACCCCGGCCCTGGCTGGGTAGACTGGTTCCATGTTCCTTCTTCCAGGGGCTTGAACTGGGAGGTCTCCCTATTTTGATATACGGCAATTTGTTTCTCTCTTTGTTGTGTTCCATTTGTCTGCAGGGTGTCAAGGGGTGTTTTGACACCTGTCATGTTATTTCTTTGTTTTGTGGGGACCTTTGTCGTCCCTGCTGAACAAGCTGATTAAGTACAGCGATCACATTCTTCGGTTTTGAAGTAAACCATCCAGGCGATAGGGCTTTTCCATGCTTTTCCGCAGTTCGCTCCGCTCGTCACATTGCAACCACATGTTCAAAGAATTTGGGCCCAAGAAGGCCCCAAGTGGGCAGTATACCGTACCTGTGACCACCGTCCCTCCCACCGTCTCTCCATTTGGCTTTCTTCGTTCCTCCCACCGTCCTGGTTGCCTCGCGAGCCTCGCAGGAGCGCGGCGCACCACGCGCGCGCCCGCGCGTGTGGCGACGACGGAGTCGTCGACCGACGACTCCGACTCCTCGTCCGAAGAGGCGGGTGAAAACGGCGGAAAACGGGTGCCGAGTTGGGGGGCTTCGGGAAGTTTGGACATGGGGGACTGTGTTGGCGGTGGATTTGGTGGTTTGGGGTGAACTTTTTTGGGGGGTGAGAGAGTTGATTTGACACGGTTGCAGTGTTGAGCGATGTTGAGCGACTTCCGAAGTCTGAATTCAGTGCGCCGTCGACCATATTATTCAGCCGATTTCAGCCGAGTCACGTTGTTGTTTCCCGCCAAGTACAAATTGATTATAATCAACAGTTCACGACTTCGATTCAACGTCCAAGGCCATGAATCCAAGGTCTTTGGGAACTTTGTTATTTTGTCTTGGCCCTTCATCACTGTACATCATTTCATCATGTCAAGTCAGGGCAGAACAAAGTTGATACTTGAAGAGAAAAGTCCTTTGCTGTGCTATACTTAGAGCATTCTTGACTTCAGGCAGCATCACAGCGTATCACAGCATTACGCCATGGTCATTGGTGTTGCGCACTTCTTGGTGCGGACCATGTCCAGGTGCAGGTAGTCTGGTAGCAAGTCGCAGAGCTACTTGATAGTTGCCATTCACCTTTTAGTGATCGCAGTGATCCTTTCGGTCTTGGAATTGGTCTGGGCCACACAGATACTCATTCTCAAGCACTCCGATCACTCAGAAACCATTTTCTTGTGTCATGTTGTGGCAGAAGATGGCACAAGGCAGGCGATGTTGGACTTGCTTTTTATGTTCAGAGTAGATGGGCAACTGCCACCCGAAAGGAGACAGATGGGGGTCCCCCAAAGCACACTCCACTGATCTCCAGTCCTGTTTCGGTGCCGCCCGATGGATGTGCCGGGCGCACCCCGTGCCCCTCCAAGTTCAGCACTCCTTAACATGATCATTTATTAATAGGGGGTGGTTACTTAATCCTATGTCCGCCTTATACTGTATGATCATTAGATGATCATTATAATATTGTTTGTTTAGGTTTTCTTTTACTTCTTGGAGCTGCCAGGACGAAGAGTCCTCGACCTCGCCCTCGACGAGGAGACGGCTCCACAGACCGAAGGGCCCTGGTCCATGGATCCAACGGGGTACCGGAGTGGGTGGTGTTGAACAAGTTTGATGAACACACACACACCCTTCTACCTGGATCCACTTTTTCGAGCCTGGTAAGGTGAGCAGGGAGACTCTTTATGGCGGTCTTTAGGTATGGTCCAATGACCTGAGATCCATAGGGAAGACACGGTTTCATCGGGGCCGGGAACTGATGCCTACTACTTCGAAGTTGGTTGGGGTGACGATCACGAGGAACTCGTGTCGCAGACACTGTGACATGTGTCTTTTTTTGCACTGGAGCTGTGGTGCTCCCATTCAAGAGCAGTTGTTTTCAACATGAAGGGATTTTGCCACTGTAACTGAACGTCGACCTTTTGCAATACTGTCGCTGCCAGACAAAGAACACATGCAAACCCATGTTGGACTGGATCTTCCAGACATCACAGAAATCGTTTAGCTGAAATGCAATTGGGATCCCGTAGCTACATTGAGCATCGAAACGGTGGGAAGACTTGTCCATCATTTTTGTCTATCGTTAGAGTCATAGAATTGTACAATGTGAAATGCGTCGAGGTATTTCTGTGGGTGTTTGGCGCACAAACTACTCATTCCCTATGCCCTCGATTTGGACAGGCTCGGTGCTAAGCCTGGTCAGTTGCGGCAGTTGCCGAAACTTGTGATGAGTTCTGAACTAGGATGCCCTCTCCTGTTCAACCAAAGCCAGATGGTTCTTTCAGACACATGCAAGTTGGGCAGGAAGCAGAGAAAGCTCAAAAAAAAACTCAAAGAGAAGATGGCCAAGAGAAAGAAGTCGCAACGAGTGGCAAAGACGAAAAGACCCTTGGAAGCGCTGCAATCAAGTCGAGCGGGGGGGGGGGCAGATATTGTGCAATAGCACAATGTTTGAGTTGTTGGGAGAGAGAGAGAGAGGGAGGTTATCTACAAGAGGGAGGCTTATTCCAGAATTTTAACTCGGGTTTGGCTTAATTTGCTCTATGGTCGATGGTGGCTTTTGTTGGGCATCTAAGTTCCCGCTGCCAAAACTGGTCACTGATCTTGTCTCTGAGCTCTGGGTGACTATATATTTGGTGATGTGGATGAGTGAGCCCCTTACGACTCAACAAGTTAAAGAGGCTTGGATACTACCACCAGCTTGACCCAACGTTAGCTAGTTCCGAACAGTGGTGTTCTCGCGACAGCAAAAGAAACTCCAGTGGATCCATAAGATTCAGTACCACTATAGAAGGTTACACCACTCTGGAGAATTTAAGTAAAGGGAAAGTAATTCGTAGGGTGCTCGGATTATCACTATTGCTTGGGTCTGTCCTATTGATTAAAAGTCAGTAAATAATTATCACTATGTTTGAACAAGGCCTGCAACATCATCATCATCATCATCATCATCATCATCATCATAATCATCATCATCATCCATTGTTACAGATATGAGGATAGACCCAAACCATTATTGCTCTCTTGAGTTGGGTCATGTTGGGTCCAAAGCCCCACTAGCTTGGTAGCGAACGGAACTCCAGTTCTGCAAGTCTCGTTCCGTTCGTAAGGACCCAAGCGAAGTGAAGACTCGTCCTCTGGTAGCTCGAGCACGGAGACGAGCAGTGCATCGTCCGAAAGCCTGAAGAAGTCCAAGGAGACTTGGAGAGGAGACTGGGTACCTGGACCGTCGTCCGGTGCTTCCTGTAAAACTCCGTTCGTCCGGTGCTCAGGTTCACCACCTGTTAGGGTTCAAAAACCACCGGATTTGGAAGGTCCTGGTATGGGTCATCGCACCCTCAACCTTGACCCGAGACTTCACAAGGCCCTGGCGAAAAACCTCATGATCCATCGGCCCTTCCCATGATCCATCGGGGTACCGGAGTGGTTGGGTTTGAAAAAATCATATGAACACACACCATTCTACCTGAATCCACATACGAACCTGAGGTATGGTGAGGAAGGAGACTCTTTATGTAGGCACCTTTTGAGGGTCCTGGTTGACCTTTTGAGGTAGAAAAGTGACCAAAACCTACCTGGATCCATTTGTCAAACCCAATTCTCTCATGGAACGCCCCAGGGTCCTCCGTGTTTGACCATCGGTAAAACCCGCTCCATCGGAGCTCCGTTTGATCCGATGGGACCGGAACCGGGACTCACAAGGGGTGCTTAGTGGCTTCTTAGTGGCGACAGAAGTGGCTTAGTGGGCACCTCTTAACCTCTCAAGGGGCTATCGGCTATTAATAGCCAGTGCGCGGACGTCCAAGGTGGTGTGAGTTTGAGAGCCAGTGCGTAGATCACCGCAACATTGAACTCTTAGGCAATCTTAGGCATGTCCTCAATTGTTTCTTGCCCCAACTTCGAACTGCCCATCGCTGCCTATATATACAAAAAAACTGCATGTGTCAGTATCCGACGATTCTGGTGGCCTTGGTTCCGAAGAAGGGCACCCGCATTCAGATTGGGCTGCTGCATTTGCTTCGAAACATGGAAGCTAGGGGTCTTGCAGACACTTACCATCAAGACTCAAGACGTTCAGAGTGAAATGTTTGGGCACCAACTCTTACCCCAAGATGCATAAATGAAATCATAAATCAAAGTGTCTTCCGCCCACGTCGTTTACAGCGACGCACAGGCCACGCACGTCTGAGCCGACACCGCCGACCTTGCCAGCTGAGGGAAAGAGAGTTCAGAAGGACCAGAAGAAGACAAAGGAACCAAAAAAGAAAAAAGCACCAAAAAAGGCCGCCTTGTTTCAGGTAATGTTCGTGTCGAGAACGAAAAAGGAGTGACATCTTGTAACAAGTTGACGCGTTTCTCATTAGAGAGGTTTGAAGGCCTTTGGCCTTTAGTTGGGCTCCTGGAAAGAACATCCAGAAGCCACATGTAGCCACCAATTAATTATTAACCATTTCATTTGACGGGTTTTGTACCCCCTACCCACCACGAGTCTTCCCCTTCTTCTTCCATTGCGATGGACACAACTGGGTTCTCTCCCGACAACCTCAATTCACAACTTGTGTTTTGTCTTTGGGAGCCACCTAGAGTGAGGGCAGATAGAAACACCTGCATGATCTGGTTGGAAGAAAAAGGACCCCCTTGCCTTGATTTGGGGAATGCCCCACAATTTGCAGAGTTGAAGGCTTTTGGGTTGGGTTTCCGTTCATCGACGGTGTCAGCAATCTTGTTTGACAAGGAGTGAAGAAGGACAAGGATGCAGCAGCGTGGATGCTGCTTTGTGTTTTCACAGTACGAGCCGAAGACCTGAATGAGAGACGAAGACTGGATTCAGGAGACTTCGACCTCCTGTCCTTTCTTTGAATTCTTTGTAGACCACTGTAGTACACATACCCCAGAAACTCCATGTATGCGAATGGTCCTGTCACATGTAGCACATCAACCTGGGATCTGACCTGTCTTAACTATCTTGAAGCTCATGAGCCATGAAGGACGTGAAGAGCTGATAAGAGCTGTAGCTCCACCTCACCTGAGAAACAGCGCATGAAGGCGTCGCAGACATGACCCGGGTGGAGAGTGATCAAGTGGATGATGGTGATGGTCATGGCTCCTGGATCATGGTACCTGGAACCCCAAACTCGGTAGTCTTGTGAAGCTGTGCTCAGGGAACCACTGGTAGACATGAAAAGATTATTTTAGCAAAATAACTGCTAAGTGAATTAGAGAGAGAAACAGCACCATCAAACGTTTAGTAAACCTAATTAGAGAGAGAAATAGCACCATCAAAAGTTTAGTAAACCTAATTAGAGAGAGAAATAGCACCATCAAAAGTTTAGTAAACCTAAAAAGAGAGGTGTCCGTATCCCAGCTTGCATGGCCCTGATGTATCCCAGCTTCCTGTCTCTCGGTGGCCCTGTAAGTCCTCGGTCCTAGGTCCTAGCTAGTAAGTAGCTAGCAGCGAGCGGGCTTATAGGCCCGCTCTAACTATTTGCAGTTTCCCTGCCCTGCTCTTTTTCTCTCACTATTCCCGCTCTAACTATTTGCAGTTCCCCTGCCCTGCTCTATGTCTCTCACTATTGTGTTCCACTAATATTTCCCACCTGCTAATGGATTTGCTATTTTTTTTGCTATTTCCTCGAAAAATAGCAAAAAACTACCATATCATGACATCCAAAATAGAGAAAAAAAATAGCGACTCTGAAACCCTCACACAATAGAATAGAAGAGGAATAGGCTGGCAGCGGAGTGTGACCAGTGACTAGTGACTAGTTTACTGAACCGTGACTTGTTGACCCGACAAACAGGGGTTGAACAATGGAGATAGGCCCAGATAGGCTATATGGCATAACCGGGCATAACCGTGAGCCCGAAGCACACCGCAACCGGAGTCTGCCTGCTCTCTCTCTCTCTCTCTCTCTGGCATCTCAGGATATCTCAGGACTTGTCTCAGACTGCTTTCCCCACCCTAATCTATTTCACTAATGTGAAGCACTATAGATTCCCAGGTGCTTCCCCCCTCTCTAAATAAATCTGCAACATTTTTGCTAAATAATTAAATCATGATTTCCAATGGTTGGCTAAAACCCGACTTCATAACGGTAGTCTGTTTCGTTCATTCTTGGTGGGAAAAGCCACGGGTGTCGCGGTTCTTCAAGACCCACAGCAGACTGAGGGAGGACCTTCTCCAAGTCGGTCTGCGTGGCGGAACCGGACCGAACAGAGAGAGCTGGGATCCCACCTGATCTGGTTTACTTTGTGGAGCTTCAGGACTCCACCTGGCAATCCGTGGTATTTGTGGTTGGTTTCCAGAGTCCTGAAGGAACTGCAAAGGTACTGAAGCTCCAGGCAATCCTCCAGTAACTGTATCCTTTGGTTTCCGGTACCTGGCAATCCTCCAGAGATTCATCATCCAAGCCACGCATCCACGGCGCTGTGGATTCATGGGACAATGGCAGACGTGCCACAGAATCGTTCCACAGAATCGTGCCATGAATGCGCCAGTCGAATAGATCAAGCCAGGTCGATCGCCAAGAACCTTTGGTTTTAACGGTCTTTCGATCGCCAGGGATCAAGCCAGTCAGTGTCAGTGTCCAGCATATATATTGTATATAGAAGCCAACCTTCCAAATCTCCCTGCAAGTCTGGGAAGTGACACATCCAGCGGCTGAATGTGAAGGGAGACGATGGAATATGTCGGTCATGGGAAGATTCTTGCCAACGGCGCTCGACTTCTTGATACTTCTTGCCTTGTTTCAGCATGTTTTAGCTATAGGTATATATATATATAGCTAGCCTCTAATGCTTCGTATCAAGCATAGAACCTGCTTCAACCTGCTTTTGGCACCAGGTGAAGAATGGCGGGCGCGCGCGCGCCGCTCATTCTCAGCTCTCGCAGCCGCGCCAGGCACAGCCGGGCCGATCAGGACGAACGTCCAGACCGCTGAGGCATGAAGAAAGTTGTAGGTGCCATTGCTTGTGGGTTTTCTAACTCAGGCAGAGTTCTGAAGATGATGTTTGATTTTTGAATGACCAGCGTTTTCGATGAATTGAAGGGGCGATCCTTGCAGATGGACATGTTGGGAGCCTTCTTTTTCACTAATCTGTCATCATCTCATTGTTTGTTTCGTCTCACCACGGTCCCAACATGGTTCGTCTTCCGGTTGCCCATTCGCCAAAGGTTCGCTAGGAAGCTGCGAAGGGTGGATGCGGTCGTAGCTGGACGCGAAGGCGGATGCGGTCGTAGCTGGACGAACGTCGACCGGGTCACAGGGCATCAACATGTGGTTTGTGGGTGATGGCACCGGGAGCCCCTTCACCTCACCAGGGTAGTAGGTTGACCGAAACCAGGTACATAGTCAATTCTGTTCATTCTTGCTCGTCAACCAGGGTGACCCGGTTTTTCAAGGCCGCCATGTGGGTGTGAGACACTCAAGATGACCATGGGCGACCGAACCCCGGCAGCGACCCCCTGCGCTCGGTCCGGGAAATGGACGTTCGGGGCGAGGGCCAGG